GTGTCTTATCAACCCTCACAGGAAGAAGCAACATGCATGGAGGCATTTGATAAATTGACAATAGGGAATACCATGTTCAAGGAAGGTTTTCACTTGAGTCACTCATTTTGCCACTGGCTTTGTTGCGCTTTACTTAATTAGGGCAATATTTTTTAAATGGTAGGGCTTTGTTGTTTGCATTAGAGCCAAAATGCACAAAATGTGCAGGAAATTCAAAATAAGTCAAGATCACATCATTTTTATGGGGAACAAAAACAACTCGTGGCAGCGCTTCCTCTCTCATTTTAAACCCTGTGACGCTGAAGACTTTTCCCCTCGCACTTTTTCACATAACGACGAGATACCTTTTAACTTCCCAGCCAGTCATCATCAATAATTGATTCTCCTCTGTTTAAAATTTAAAGTGCCACACATTAACGTCCTCCCGCACCTGCTCTTTCACGCTGTCCGTCCTCTGCTAGGCTGCTTTCTACCCTCGTCTCCCTCTCTCCCCCCCCTCTCCCCCCTCTCCTCGCACCATAGTGAAGACAATGGCAATGAGTTTCCTTTCACCGCTGAACCAAGGATGTTAAATCAAACGCGGGGGGGGGGGGGCAGAGGAGGCGACAGACCACGTAATGTAAGGCCGTCGTCCAGACGCCTCCGATTACGCTTTGGCCCTAATTGGTGGCGGTGGCAAAAGCGATGAATCCTCTCTAACGGTGCCGCGCGGTTGTTGCCTCTCGGAGCGCGACAACGGCCCCCGGGAGGACATCGACGCGCCGCAAATGGAAGCTGACAGAAAATCCACACGGCACGACCAATCTAGGGGGAAAAAGGGCATGACAATGAATAAAGGGGGCCCCCGTGCTCTGAGGCAGCCGAGGGTAGCTCGCAGGGAGGATGTGTATAATTAAGCGGTGTGCGTCGTGGTTCAGATGGCAAAGTCCTATTGTCTTGACAGGAGCTTAAGGTTGCCCTTTAGCTGGAGATGCGTGGCGGCGAACAGCCTCGTTTTTCTTTATTTTCTTTCGCCCCCCCCTCCCCCAGACCCCTGCGACCAAATTAATCTGCAGTTTTAAAGCTCGAATAAATCCAGTCAAGTGAGAGATCTGCGGATCTCACGGCTGCCTCTCCATCGGGGTTTTCCCTTTTTTAAATTTTATTATTATTTGGGTGACCCCCCCCACCCCCCCTCTCATTTGCCCACAGAGATTGGCTGGCAGCACTCGGGCTTATCTCCAGGGAGGCAAAGGTTGGGGGAGGGGGGGTGAAGGCCACAGATTTGTCCTTATCTATTCTGAGCACACCTAAAACAAATTAGACCTGGCGGCCATTGCTTATTTGGCGCCCGTGCTCTCATTAAGGCGCTGAATCCGAGCTATTTTTCCTCAAGGTCCCGCTTCCTGCCATTTTGGGCCTTGTCTTTTAGCACAATAGCAAAGGTTCCTAGGCAGCCGCGCCACCTTTTCATCTCACCCATTTCATGTAGACAACAACGCCGCACAAAGAGCGTGGGGGGGGGGGGGGGGGGGGGAGAGGGAGGGAGACTTACACTAGGATGCTGTTTTCTTGCTCAAGGCTTGACGCTGGCCTTTGGCATTTGTTTATTGAAAGGAAGAATCTGTTCAATTAGAATTTTGTTCTCCTGCTTTTTCTACATCTTTTTATGGTAATCATCAACACCGAAGCCTCTTTGAACGTTGTTATTTCACGCATTCTGTCTTTAGTTGATACGAACGTCGAAAGCAGAGGTGCTGCTTACGTCCAACTGTCCACGTCATAAAAATATTTTTTTGATGATCTTTATATCAGGTTGTATAGTTAAGGAGGTTGTGGTTTTGAGGCGCCTGTCTACAGCCGTACTCTGATGGAGGGTGAGTCATCAAGCAAAAGCTTGAAACACAAAGGAATTATACGTGCAGACGGTGGTATAATCCGGGTGGTGTCTGGTTGGACGTTTTGGAGAGTTTCCCTATAAAACCGCACCGGTCAGACTTTTTGTTAAATGTATTAAACGTAGATGACTTTTGACGAATCTTTAAGCCTAAAAAAACAACTATGGCTTACATTATCCAAATGATCATACAGATCACACACATATAAAGTGTAATAACTGCATGCGTATATTTATCTAGAGTTTTGGTTAAGAGAACAATATATAACATTGGAGTGACAAACTTGGGGATATTGTATGTATACAACATTCTTGACGAAGGTAACCGTCCGATCAAGTCAAGTCGTTGGATAGTAAAAACCCAACAGAAGACCCAACGATCACAAGATCAATAACAAAACATGATTTTCAGTATTCTTGGAGGATTTTCTTTTCAGGAACATAACCGTTATCCTCCAAACGAAGCAATCTGAGAACGGAAGTCCGTGCTTGGGTCACGGCCGCACCGAGGCCTTGACTGGCAGGACGGGTCAGGACAAGACCACTCGTCGCATGTGGACGCACTCACCATGGGAGTTTTAGTGCCACACTGGCATTCATAACTTTTACATTTGCTGAAATTAAAGAAAAAGTCTACAGCCGTTTTCACGATTCTCTCCTCAGAAATAACCGAAGTGGAGTAAACAGACGAGGTAAACAGAGCTGAAAACTCAGCTCACCTACTTGTGAGTATTATTGCATTTGAAAGTTAATGAAGGACCTTTGAGCCATAGGAGCTCAAGCTAAGCAAAGGTAACTGCTCGGGAAATGTTAGGTTAGATGAGATTCCTCTGCCAGACTAATCCTTCCTGGAGCCTTAGAGCGGCACGCAGATGGAGGGAGGAAGGGGGAGAGAGAGGGAGGGAGAGAGGGAGAGAGAGAGAGAGAGAGAGAGAGAGAGAGAGAGCAGGATCTGCTGCAGAACAGCACAGCAGTGACACGGGGCAATTCTCTAGGGCCTTGCATTAGCGCGCTAAATTAAAGGGGGTATTAGATTAAATTGGCTCTCCGATTTCAGGGGTGTGAGTAAAATTCTGATTTGCATTTTCCACCGCTGCTTAAGATATAATTAGTTCAGGGTGATTCCCATGTGGAAAACACTGACAGCCAAATCTAACTGGCTGCCAGCAGCTTATCGTCTCTTCCAAGGCAAAAGGTGCACTCGGCTCACGTTTGGTGTGTGTGTGTGTCTGTGTGTTTGCGGGTATGTGGTGCTCGTGTGAGAGTGTGTCGCCGTTCACATGTGATTTAGCACGCGCGGGCTGTAAATTCTCCTTCCCAACTTACTCAAGCAGCCTTCCCCTCACACTTTGAATGCCACTCGGCCGTGAGCAGCCATCGGCGCCACCAACACGCTGAAAAGTGAGCGCTCCCTCTAAATGTACGGAGAGAAAGTTTGCTTTGGCGAGGAGCGCAAACTTTACGCCTGTGAGATGCCTTTAAAGTCCAAGCCGGTTCCGTAGCACACGTTGTGCCTGTAATTACAGGTGCAGAGTCAAAAATAACAATTACTTCGGAAGAAGTCCATAATATGAATTATTGAAGTCGGCGAGGGGGCTGTTAACAGCGTGTGCGGATTTGTTGGAGGGGTTTTCACGCCCGCGGTAATTCTAACCATCCTTTCTTTAAATGGGTGTTTTCAAACGTCGGCCTACCCATGCATTATGAACGCGGGGGCGAGCATCCTCAACACCTGCTTGGGGACACCTGTTTGTCTTAATAGGAACCTTTCAGAATGTTGGGATCCCAGCTCAAACTTCATGCATTGACAGAAGTCCTCCATGCAGCACTAGAGGACGTGCGACATCAATTATGAGAATCATATGAATAAATGATAATATGTTATGTCACAGCACTACTGGGTCGGGAGCGTTTGCATTCAGGTACAATCTTGATCTACTTTGAGTCCTTCCATCGTTTCCGGATCACTGAAAAGCAGCCGGCACAGGTGATGTTACATTATAAAACATGCGGAAACCACACCTATTCCAATGTATTGTACATTTATGAACAATAATCCCACAATCTCGTGGCACAAATGCATAATGAACAAAGGAATCTATACACGGTGTATCTCCCATGAGTAGATTGGGTAATATTTTACGATTAACCTCTTTTTCCTCTCTGCGTAATCACTTAATTAATTAGCAAAACATCGGGCCCTCAGGTTACATTTGCTGCTGACTCATCCATCCAAGCTCATGTTAAGTCAGTGAGCAAGTGGAGACTTCAAACACATTCAAAACTTAACATTCGTATTCCGCCTCTGCCAACGAAATGTCAGCTCCTAAATGAATCTATTAAAACGAACCTTTAAAAAGCACCCTGCCCTCCGTTTGTGTGCTAATGAAGCCTCCTGCTACTTTTCAATTAAGCGGAGCTTAATGTGTTTTTTTTTCTTTGTTTTTTTCAGACTCTGCATCCTTCTGCATATGTATCATGCCACACATTGATCCATAATTGCCCATAATAAATGATTTCCTTTTAACCCCATTGTATGTGCACAATCAATTCATACAGGATCAGGGGGAAAGAATCATTTTGGGTGCCCCCCCCCCCCCCACACACACACACACGCAAAAATTAGCGAGTATGTTTTGAGAAAAGCCATCAGCATCCCCGAACATTACTCTCACCATCTCTTGGTGGTCGGAGGCTGAGGCTTTGTGGGATATTGATTCTCCCCCTCCAGGGATGGGTTTCATAAATGGTTAAAATGACCGGGTGTAGAGAGGGACGGCTCTCTGCTGAAAAACAATTTCCAGCCCCGCTTTGAGCGGAGACAAGCTCGGGGTTGTTCCGATGCGTTCCAGCCCAGCCTGACTGGCAGCAATTAAGGGTGTCTGAGCCCAGCTCAGCTTGCGCTCCACACCAAACACCCCTAATTACTGCCAATTAGGCTAGGCGGGTAGGCAGATTTGAGAAGTCGCGAAGGGTGGGGGGGAGAGGGGGGGCTGTTCAGGCATGGGTGGGCATGGAAACAATTTTCAAGGGCTTAGAACGTGACTGGATGAAAAAGGTTTAATGCTTTGGAGTGCAAGGGGGATAATAACAAAAGAAGGGGAAGCAGAGCCCCGGTTCTCACCTCCAGCGACGAGCCCGGCTTCTTCTTCAACTCCTCGCATTTCCTAAATTTGCAGATCTGGTGGCCCGTTTTGCGGTTCCGACAACTGCTGCAGACACCACAGTTGATTAGCCGCCTGCAGGGCGCACAGACCCCACACCTTTTCCGTTTCTTCTTCGCTGGGTTTCCACTGGATACCGAGGAATTATTCTGTGGGCAGTCTGCCAGATTGGCAATTTGAAACGCACTGTCTGTAACGGCTGCTGAGGCTGCGGGGGAGTGAAGGGCTGTCATGACGATGACCCCGGGAGGTAATGAGATGCCCCCTAAAGCCGGGATAGCGGAAAAAGTTCCAACGCGTTCTGGGAGATTCATTATCTCTGCTTCAGCAGCGCCGCATTTCAGCTTGTTCATGCATTCTCCTGCTAAAGGTCTGCAGTGTTCGGGGGATAAGGTAGAGAGGAAATTATTATTTGCCATTTGCAGCGTCTCTGGCGGCACGCCAGGCTTCCCCGGCCTCTGGGAGTCATTTCTATGCATGCTGGTCCTATTAGGGTTTATTGCCGCTGATTTCCTTCCCCAGAGCATGGCGTTATCGCAGTTCCAAGGGGACATGCCAATTCTAGCACTGGGGAAAATGGGCGTTGTGATGCGGGCAATCTTGGCAGTCTGCGGAAATGCCCCGTTGTTTTTATAAAAGTTTGCAAAAGACCGGTACCTTTCCATTTCTGCGTTGTAATCCAAGAGCTGGCTTAATCCACCATCCTGAAGAATATCCTTTTGTAAGAGAGACACGTCTGCGTTCTGTCCGGTTTCGATGCAAAGCGCATTGTTTATGTTGGCCATGGCTGAAGAGGGGTTGTCAATGTTCAAGGAGAAGAGAGGGGGCGTACGAACTGGAGCTGGTTACCAACAGTGCGCCACCATGCTGGTTTTTATCTTTCCCCGTGCTAAAAGTGAGAGAAAAAAAAACAGACAACAACATTTACACATAAAAGAGGCAAACGTTTTCAGTCGGATCAAATTTTATTCCTCTCCTTCAACTTTTTTCTTGAAGATAAAAGCTGAACTTTTGACAAAATCTTCAAGCACATTGTTTACGTCCTGCGTTTTCTAATGGAACTATGACAATTAGTCAGAACTGATTTTCATGGGGACAATAACGTGATAGCGGTGACGGACCAACGGGCCATTATTATAATAGGGGAGTGAATTAGCATGCTTCACAAAGATGCCACGTTTTCAATTCTTTTTTTTTGAAGTCTTGTCAAAGTATTGTTACATATTTTGCAGAAAGTCCAATCAGCTACTTCACAGAATGAATAAATACATACACAATACAGATGAGGGGTACGTTCCATCCAAACACACGACTTGAATATTCAAAAATATCCCTCTTTTGAAAAGTTTGAATCCCTACTAGGACTCATCTTTTTTTACCCTGGGCTTTCCAATATAAGCTCTTAAAAATAATCTGCTTTCGGTGCCCCGAAGGAACATTCTTTCGTATTTCCACACGTTTAAAGAAAAGTGGACCATCCACGTAAACACGACCCCTAGTCCGGCCTCTTAAGAGCACCTGGTACCCATTCATGGCCGCCTCGGTAGCGTTTCCTCAATGACAGTACAGATAGCCTCTGGTGGATTTACATCCGGATCATGGACCAGGCCAACGACAGTGTCAGCTGCCTTGGGATGGGGGGGGGCTGCTCCATTTCCCCTCTCTCTCTCTCTCTCTCTCTCTCTCTCCACCAGTGTGGATTTGGTTTCCACAGATAAAAGCCCATTAGACACATCTCCCCCTACTTCCATTACCTTTTTTCTGGGCTTTCTCTCTTAATTGCCAAAGCTGATCCATTGCTGGAACACTAAAGCATTTCAAATCACTGCCATGGTGCTACCCAGCAGCCGTCTCAAAAAAAAAAAAAAAAAAGAATAATAAATATACACACATGGAACTGGAGAGTTTGTAGCGGGTGGCGTTATAAAAGTGCCCCGAGTACTGAAGTATCTCCTTCTGAACAACAAATTCTATTCTAATTCTATCGCGGTGTCGTCCCAGTGTCCGTGTCAGCGTTTAAGAAATATACACTTCCCATGCGTTAACTATCCAACATTGTTTCTTTTAAGCCATTGTGATTCTTTTTTTTTTTTTTTTTTTCCCCTCACACAAACGTGCAACCCAGAGCCGCAGGTTAAATGGCGACGTGGCGTCCGAGACAACCTGCAGCCAGCAGTAAACAAAACCCTCCTCGGCTTAATGATCATCCCTCCTCAGGGTCATTATTACTTAATCAATTCACCCCTGGAGCGAAATACGCAGCCCAAAGGCAATCAAGTCACGGACATTGATTTTCAGCCTGTAAACAAAGTTTAGAGAGACAGAAATGTTCAATACCTGCTGGAGAGAGACACAGAGGGAGGGAGGGGGAGAGAGAGAGAGGGAGAGAGAGGGAGGGAGAGAGAGAGAGGTAGGGAGTGCGAGTGTGTTTGAAGAAAGAAAAGTGAGAAGAAAAAGAGGAAGCCGCGTCGAAGCGCTGTGCCGCCGCTGCACCGCGATGCCGTTAATTACACTCGCTCTGGTCCGAGGTAGACATTCAGATCAAAGGTCATGCACAGATAATCCAAAGTAAAGGGGGGGGGGGGGTAATGGTGCTAAAAAAAAAAAAAAAACCCGACAAAAACGGATCTGACATTGACCGGCTCACTTGCGGCCACACAAGCGCCGAATCGGGATGGGAAAGCGGGGGCGGACGCGTGCAAGGGGACGGGCGAAACATGGACGGACACACACACACACAGGCGGGGGGGTGGGGGGGGGTGCAGGGGACAGAGGGGGGAGAGAGGGAGCGAGCATCACCTACCAGGTTCCTGTTGCGACTGAGCTCCCAAGATGCTACCAGCCTGCGACCGCGTAACGGCACATGACGGCGAAGCGATACGCGGGGGGATAATAACGCGAAAAGATGCGAGAAGACGCGCGGGGCCGCCGGAGGAGAGCGCGGCGCGCGCGCGCGTTCGCGCGTGCGTGTGTGTGTGTGTGTGTGTGTGTGTGTGTGTGTGTGTGTGTGTTCAGAGCGCTCAAAACAAAAGGAGCATTTTTATCGACTTTCTTGTCACGTTAAAAAAAAAAAAAGAAGAAGAAAAATGTTCGCAAAGTGCGTAAATAAGCCAAAGGGTGTCGTAGAAAAAGGAGAGGGGATGGGGGGGGGGATCGCAAAAGGTTTTCTTTCTCTTGATCCGGGGGGCTGTATTGCGTGTCTGCCTGGTCTCTCTGCTCCGTCCGTGTCTCCTGTCGCTGTGTGTGGCTGATTGGTGCTGAGGTGAGGAAGCAGGGATGTGGACACCTACTGATCATTGGCTGGAAATTACTATAGAAACACTCGGGAGGTGGGAGGGATGGATGGCTCAGGGCGCCCTGTGGGGAGGGAAATATCTGCGTCTTGTCCTCTTTTTAAAAAACAATTCCTGTTATTCTTTTTTTTCTTCATTTCACCAAATTTATATTGTTGAATACATTTCTTTCATGACGAAGCGTTTAGATAGAATGGAGGGTGGGGGGGGGGGGGGGGGGGGGGTCCTTTTTCAAAAGCGTCCTTTAAAAAAGATTGGGGGAACTTGTCAAATTAATTTGAATGGAGCTGAGCTGTGATTAAGATAAAATGCCTCCGCCGGCATGGAACCCCCCCTCCCCCCTCCTCTTACACCCCCCCCCCCGTCCAGCGACAGCCATAATTACTAAGACCTCCGGGATTCATCACCATTATAAATCCCGCCTCCTGGCCACCCATGCCTGCAGCTCCCACAGGCTGACAACAGGAGCAGGCAGGGCACATTTATTCCACGAGCCCCCATGATGTGTGACAACGTGCGTTCATTCGCGCTGAAGCCCGTAAGCTTTGATTTAAAATTAAATTATTATAGTAAGCATGCGCGTCACACATTATTTCCCCCACATCAGCATTTATCTAAAAGGTAAACATGGGACCATCACCTGTATTTACACGGAGAATAATGATTCATTCACTAAACAGGTTTTAGTAAACTACATTCTAAAGATACAGTGTTGGACTGCAATATTATAATTTTACCACATAAATGTGCAAAGGGGAACAAAAAGTGATTTGATAATGCTTCATCAGTGAAAAACTGATTTCTTTGGAAATCAAGTCAGGTAAAAGTCATTAATGAAGGATTTTAATCAATCCAATCTGTATGGAGGAAAATTGTTTTCATCAGCAAAGCAAAAGTCTCAAAATCCGTCACGTCGGCTGACAAGTTGGGAGCCCCTGCAGCTCGTCCCCTCAGGCCTCTTACCAAAGCCACTCCCCCAAAACTACCACGAGGAAAGTAAACAACAACATGGCTTCCAAGCCGGCGCCTGGTGGAGCACTGGTGTCCCTCAATGATTCCTCCTGCAGAGTGCGTGCAGGTAGGCGTGCAGGTGGCCCATCCAATCATTCCATTGGGGCCAAATGCAACGATTGGATGAGCTCATTACAGTCGTCCGACAGCCCCGCCCACTGTTTGATTCATTCCTCGATGTTTGGCAAAAGAGATTTACAACAAAAAAAGGTTTCTAAAATACTTAACTTAATTATTCCATGAGGCTTAACACATAAAATGACATCGTGCCACAGAGGAGAAAACAATCCCACCATTGCTTCTACATTCCGACAGGTTCGGGAGTAAACAAACTGTCAGCTGCACGACACATTTCTCAGTCATACAGCCCCTCCAGGTGAGCTGCGTGACACCGGCCTATAGGCTGCCAAAGGCAATACTTAGATAAAGTTAGCGCGAGATGGCAACAGAAAGGACAGGGAAGAAGCCTAGCCTTAACCACGCTAAATGTTTTAAATTTGTGAATATCCGTTTAACGTCCTTCAGTACAAAATTCAACCATACACGCAAATGGGGAAACTCCATCATTGACTCTAGGGATACTGAACTCATAACACGCTATGTTACGTTTATTTCTAAGTCTTTTTCTGTCTGATCTGACTCAAAAGACCTTTAAACTTCCATCTCCTCAGCAGTCAGATCGTCACCCTCTCAGCGGCTGTGGATCATCGTCGGCGCCGCCACGTACAGACCGCGTGGGCTTGGAAAGATACCGGTCGAAGCGCGAAGCAGCAGCGATGGAAACGGAAAGCAGTCGACAGAAGTAAGTGGAGAACAAACTGGGCGACTGGCCGGTTGGGTTGAGGTCAGAAGTCGTGACGACTTCAATAAATATATATATATAACACACCTTCGAGGAATGAGTACGCCTGTTATGGGTGCAAAGACTCTTAATCTGTCTTCAACACACTAAATGGGCTGTGAAGCAACACTTGTTTAGAACCAGACCAGGTTATGAGTCAGTAAAGACGTTAACGCACTCATTTTTATGTCTAGGCTATCTCAACGTTTTCAAACTGCGCATGATATCATGACTCTCGGATGCAGACGTGAACGGAGAAATAATGAGGGCCGTCGTCTTGTTTCCTTCCATTCGAAATATTCATCATGAATCTTTTTTAATTGGGTCTTGCTAACGATATTGTTATTAGTCACCAACAGTGTCATCGAGACAACAACAACAACATCTCAAACTATTTCATATATCAACAAACCTACTGATAAACTGCGGATGAAAGCCTGTTCCTCCTCATCATAAAGCGTCCCGTGTTCTGTGTTTCATCATTTCTTTGGTACCTTTTCTCAAGGCAATAAAAGCACATGTCCTGTAGACGCTACAAAAAGCCCAGATGGCCACAACAGAAAAGGCTTTTTGAATACATTTTGTCTGGACCTTTTCCTGAAATAGTGCTGAATCAGAACCCTCTCAGGCACCATTGGCTGTCACATTACCCAAAAAGGGAACCGTCCTCGAAGCGTTATTTTCGTCGGTATCAGCCCCCCCGTGAATCTGTGTGTGTGTGTGTGTGTGTGTGTGTGTGTGAAAGCTCCTCCGTCGGAAAATCATTTTATCTTTTCGTGCGATAATAGCCCCCAGGGGAAATCTGCCTAGGTGGTCCTAACCTCTGTCTGCAGAGCCCCGGCAGCATGTGGGTCTGCAGCGGTGGGAGGCACGAGCCCTCGTGGCAGGCCTTTGTTCCCGCCCGCACCGCTCCGGCATCGCTCCCCCCCCCCCTCTCTCCCCCGTGCGCTACTCCTCCTCCCCCAGGTCTCCCCGGGCTTTCAACCGTACTCGCAGGAGTAATTAATAACCACGACCCCAGATTTAAATGTAGCCCGCGTTGGGTCGATGGAAATGGAATCAGAGAGGAGGGGAGTCATAAGATATGGGTGTTTTGAGGGGTGATGACGGCGTGAATCCATTGATTCACCCGTCCCGATTTGATAGCGTTTGATAGCGTGCTCACATGTGTGAGGAGGAACACAGCGGAGATGCGCGGCAGCGTGGATGCATCCACCCTGCGTTGCTCTTCTTGTGAGGAAACTAGAGAGGATCCTGAAAATTAGACCCAAAAATATACAAATATGCATGTTTGAGGCGAAAAATACTGTGTGTAAACAGTGGCTTCAATCTCCACCTGTTGTTTTTTCCATTCGCCTGCTGTATTACTGCCGGATGTATTGATTTTTTTGTAAGAAAAACCAAACGGTGTCACAGTTGTTTTACAGTGGAGTTGTAAAAATAAAAAAGGAGAAAAACAGGAAAAGGGGAGGAGCTGGGCCGCGTCTCCTGGAGGTGTCTCCGATGGGCTCAAAAAGACTCTTATGGTAAACAGCATTCCTCTGAGGCCTTTCACGCGTGGTGAGGAAGACACAGGCAGAAAGACAGAGAGAGAGGGACCCAACTTTGGAAAATAAACAGTGTGCGATTACGGTTTGAGCAGTGATGCGCCGCAGAGCAGCAGCAACCTTGGCAGTATTTATTTAGAAACCTGCCTCATTGCTGTGATGTACGGTGCCCTCGCCTCGCACACATTAGCCCTTTGCGGCGATTCCGATGTGCATTTTTCGCGGATACAGCCCAGCGATCCCTCCTCCCTTTCCCGTCGCCTGCTAATTGGAGTGAAGAAGAGCCCCCTTAATTATCCAGTTAGTAGCTTTGCCGAAGGAAAGCCGACTCCTGGCACACGGTCTGGAGAACAGAAGACGCCGCCTCCACCCAAAACCTCAAGGACGGAAAGCACCGCGTCGCCACGTGGGCCGCATGATGAAAGTTCCGTTGTGTTCGGGTCGAAGGAATCCCACTGGAGCTTTATGCTGGTATTATATCTAACGATGCACCATCAAATACGATATTTACCGTCTCTCCCCTGATCCATCCGTCAGCGAGTGTCGCTAATCGTCTGTCGAGGTGTTTTGTTTTCAAGCTGCTTACGCGGCTATTTGAATGGCTTCAGGTCGATCGGCTGCTTTCATCACTTCTTGTGGCATCTAACATTGAAGCGCGACACAAAATCAACTGCTGACAATCTTTGCATAGAAATAGAAAATAGGTTTTCTTACACCTGTAGTTGAGAAACCCTTGAGACAGAAACAGATTTGTTCCAACAAACAAAAAAGGGAATGTATCAAACACAGACAAGTGTCCCTCCTCATGAACCAGGATCGGGCACACTTTGTGTTTTTCTGCTAATATGTGCAAACACTGTCGCGGCGCTCATCTCTCAGTGAGGGTGAGCAAACAGCTTCGGCAAACACAAACATCTTGGAAGCACCCGGTTAAGTCTGTAAGTCACATTCAGGATGTGACTCAGTTTTAAGTGGTTCGCACCACATTGTGCTTGGATGTCTCCATGTCGCCACGACAACGTCGGCCAATGTAGCAGCGGGATTACTTCCACGCAACAGCTGGCGATGGAGCCTGTGGACGTTTTGTGGTTGTCGTTTTGATTTGTTTTGGTTTCAAAATCCTCCTGATGTTATTGCCACATTTACATTTGCTATTGCCATGTGATCTACACAATGACATCTGATCAGGAGCCCCTCCGTTAACAACTAGTAATAATTGTTTTTGCCGTTTGTTTCCTCCATTCAGCCCAAATTGTCAGAGAAATATCATAATATCATAAATACCATGTGGAAATGAAATGAAACTCATCAACAAACATGCGCCAGGTCCAGGTCTTTCTGAGCTCAGCAGATAGCAGCAAGTGCACGAGTAATAATCAATATGAAGATACATGTTAGCACAGAATTGTACTGTATGTGTTATTTACATATATAGTTATTTTTAACATACAATAAACCAGAAATGCTACGGCCTGCAGACAGGGTTTTGGTCAAATTATGAGTCAGACATTAGATATCGAAGCCCTCTTCGCTATTTAAGTCCCTTTCTCCGGTGACTTTGTATGTTCA